GTATCTCAGTGGTGGAGCACCTGCCTTGCACAAGTGAGGCACTGGGTTCAATCCTCAACACCACATAAAAAAAAAAAAAAACAACGAAATAAAAATAAAAATAAACATTAAAAAAAATAGATAAAACATAGGGATAAATCTTCATTATTTTGGACTTGGTAATCAATCATTAGATTTTCTACTGGAAGCACCAACAACAAAGGGGAAAGTAGATAAATTTGGCTTCACAAAAAATTTTAAACATTGGGGCTGGAGATATAGCTCAGTGGAGCACTTGTCTAGCAGGCCCAAGGCCCTGGGTTCGATCCCAGGCACAAAAAAAAAAAAAGAAATTAAAAAAAGTTAAACTTTTGCCACATGCAGGTGGTACACACCTGTAATACCAGTGACTTGAGAGGTTGAGGTAGGAGTATTCCAAGTTCAAGGCCAACCTCAGCAATTTAACAAGGCCCTAAACAATTTAGCTAGACCCTGTCTCAAAAAGGGCTGGAGATGCGGCTCATTGATGGAGTGTCCCTGGGTTCAGTCCCTAGCACCAAAAAAAAAAAAAAAAAAAATTACAAATGGGCAAAAAACTTGAGTAAACATCTGTCCAAAAATATACTGTATACGGGAGACCAAGAAACACATGAAGGGCTGGGGTTGTGGCTCAGCGGTAGAGCACTCACCTAGCATGTGCGCACCCTGGGTTTGATCCTCAGCACCACATAGAAAATAAATAAAGGTATTGTGTCCATCTACAACTAACAAATAAATACTTTTTTTAAAAAAAAGAAACCCATGAAAAGATGGTAACTGCTAATTCTAGCTTCTCAGGAAGCTGAGCAGGGAGGATTTTGAGTTCAAAGCCAGCCTGAGTAACATAGTGAGATCTCATTCCCCAAAATAAAGATATTTACTGATCATTAAGGGAATGTAAATCAAAACACAATGAGCAAAAAAAAAAAAAACATAATAAGTTGGGTGCGGTTATGCACTTCTGTATTCACAGTGGCTCAGGAGACTAAGACAGGAGAATCAAGAGTTCAAAGCCAGCCTCAGCAACTTCAAGGCATTAAGCAACTCAGTGAGACCCTGTCTCTGAATAAAATACAAAATAGGGCTAGGGAGGTTGCACAGTGGGCAAGTGCCCCGAGTTCAATCCCCAGTACAAAAAAAAACTTCACAGCTCTAGAACGTTTTTAATTTTCTTAGATGTCTTTAATTTAAAAAACTAGGAACCAATAAGGATAGGCAAATCTTTGGAGAAATCATAACTCTCAAACACTGATGGTGGAAAAGTAAAATGGTACAGCTACCTTGGGAAATAGTCTGGCAGCTTCTCAGACTGTTAGCTTATGACCCAGCCCCTTAGGTAAATACTTAAGAAAAGTGAAAATGTATGTCCACACAAAAACTTGTATACTAAGGTCCATGGCAGAATTGCTCATGCTAGCCAAAAAGTGGAAATAAGCCAATGTCCATCAACTTACAAATATATAAACTATGGTATATTCATACCAGTGAACATGTGTGTGTGTGGGTGTGCGGGTGTGTATGTGTATCACACACACACCAGGAATTGAACAGGTGTGCTTGGCCACTGAGCCACATCCCCAGCCCTTTTTTCATATTTCATTTAGAGACAAGGTCTCACTGAATTGCTTAGGGCCTCACTAAGTTGCTGAGACCGGCTTTAAACTGGCGATCCTCCTACCTCAGCCTCCCAAACCGCTGGGATTACAGATGTGTGCCACCACGCCTGGCAAAGAATATTATTCATCTATAAAAAGGAACAAAGTATTGACCCATGCTACAACATAAATGAACCTTGAAAACATTACACTAAGTGAAAAAAAAGCCAAAAATGATAGGTCATATATTGTTATGATTCCATTTACAGAAATGTCCAGAATAGGCAAAGCCATAGAGACAGAAAATAGATTAAAGGTTACCAGGAGGTGGAGGAGGGGAGAAATTGGGAGTGATTACTTAATGGGAATGGGGTGTTTTTCTGGAGTGATAAAGTTTTGAAACCAGAGAGGTGCTTGCACAACATGGTGAACGCACTAAATGCCACGGAGTGTACCCTTTAAAATGGTTAATTGTATGTTACAAGAATTTCATCTCAATTAAAAAGTACACTTCAATTTAAAAAGAGAATGGAAACTGAAAAACATAAACATCACCTCCAACGCGCCCTTGACCCTGAGAACCTATAAGATGCCTGGCACACACCTCTATTATTTCTTTGGCCTCACTGCAGCCCTGGGAGCAGGGGATTCTCTGGGCTCAGGGAGGAGAAGAGATGGAGCTAGGATCAAGGGGCAGCTGCAGGGTCTTTCAACTCCCCCGTGTCCCAGACTCACAGCAACCTCGAGGCCCCCTGGGCTTCTCCTCTGGCTTCCTGGGTAAGAGTTGGTGAGGTCAGGCACCAGGAACGCCTGTGTGGCCACAAAGCAGGAGTTAATGACTGAGGAGCTTGGAATGTGCTGCCTCTGAAAGGGCCTCCTTGTGGCTCCACTGACGGTTAGAGCAGGAAGGGACTTTCAAAGTCATGTAATCACACACACACACACACACACACACACACACACACAATTTGAGACAAGAGCCCTGCTCAGCCAGCCATCCCAGACTACTTGGGGAGGGGCCAGGGTGATATTCCTGTGGCAGGTGGGTGGGTACTGTCAAGGCTGACCCTCTATGACAAGCCTCACATGTGTCAGTGACTGGCTGCCTGTGTCACCCCTGACCTGTTCAGCTTGGGCTCAGCCAAGGAGTCCAGATATCTATAAGAGCATGTAGGTGTGTATGTGTGGAAATACACATGTGATCAGAGTCCCAAAGGGTGCTCCTGCTGGGGTTTTTTATTCATATATGAATTTATCTTCATAATTATTTGTCAAACTCTTACAATCAACTGTCCTAAGCATGTGACACTATTTTGTTTTTATCCCATGTCTTCATTTTATTTATTTATTTATTGGAGGGGGTGTGCCAGGGATTGAACTCAGGAACACTCGACCACTGAGCCACATCCCCAGCCCTATTTTGTATTCTATTTAGAGACAGGGTCTCACTGAGCTGCTTAGTGCCTCGCTTTTGCTGAGGCTGGCTTTGAACTTGAGATCCTCCTGCCTCAGGCTCCCAAGCTGCTGGGATTTCAGGTGTGTGCCACCGTGCCTGGCTCATGTCTTCATTTTACCGATGGGGAAACAGAGGCTCAGAAAGATTGAGTGCTTCATGTAGGTCATACAACCTAGCAGCCCACCCAGATTTCAAACCCAGAACCCCGGGTTCCAGAGTTGCCTGACTTCAGCATTCATGTTCTTCCCATGGGTCCCATTATCTCAAAAACACTATCTCTGTCTGTGTGCCTCTCTCTGTCATTCACACACACAAACACACACACTGTATTTCTCATTCTGGTAAACTGCTGTGCTTTCTTTTTAGAGGAAGACAAGCATTGAGTAGAACCAGGGCAAGGGAAGGGCACTAGGCTGGTAAGCACCTTCTGAGTTCACAGCACTTTACAGCTTACAAAGCACTTTCACATTTGTGATCTCATTTGATCCTACAGCAGCCCTATGAGGTCAGCAGGGAGGCCCAGATGGGACTGGGGCTCAGGGAAGGTAACCTGCCCAGGGTCACACAAACAGAAAATGGTAACCTTGAGACTAGAACCTCAGTGCCAAGCTGTCCTCCTGTCTTTAAGTCCTGAGGGCACCCACAGACCCCTGGCCGCTGCTTCCCAGAAAGGCAGCCTGGGACCACCACCACCATTGCTCCCTATGGTCCCAGGCAAGACTGGAGCTGTCAACAGGAAGTATCAGTGGAAAGCAGGAAAGTTCAACTCTCTTTTTGTAGTTGTGTGACCAGGGCAGCTCCTTACTCTTTCTGGGTCTCGATTTCTTTATCTATAAAATGGGAGGAAATAGGGAGGGAGGTTAGGTTGGTCCTTTCAGCACTGACATTCTGCACACGTGGAAAGCTGTCTCTGAAGCTTTGAGGGCTTTGAAAACTTGCCTGAGCCTAGGCCTGGAGATCCCACAGCCCTGAGTTGTCCACCTCACTTAGTGAACAACTCTCAGCCTCAGTTCTCCATCTGAAAAATGGGGATAATGATGGTACCTACCTCCCAAGGATATTTGGCCAGGGCCTCTCATTCGTGCAGACTTTTGACATGCTCCAAGACTGGCTACACACAATTCCAGAGTACCATTGGCAGCCAAGAAGTTGGCATTTAGGGCCGAGGTTATGGCTCAGTGGTAAAGCGCTCACTTTGCTCGAACATGCAAAGCCCCGGGTTCGATCCTCAGCACCACATAAAAATAAATAGATAAACTAAAGGTATTGTGTCCAACTAAACTAAAAAACAAATATTTAAAAAATAAAATAAAAAGAAGTTGGCGTTCAGCAGACCTCAGGACTCCTGTGTCCTACTGCAGGTTCCCACCGTCTGTAGGAGCGCTGAATTTAAAAAACGATGGTTGCTCCTGAAATGAGCCTGAGTAACACAATTGTATTTGGTTGTATTTGTGAGCAGATCAGAGCATCACCTTGTTTATTGTAACCCATAGCTTTTGTAACCCTGGTTTGTCATTTATTCATTTTACAGTAGCTGGAGCCTTAAAACAATGCCAGTGGAGGGGCCTCAAGGTGAAACCCTGGGTGGCGGTAGGGATGGTTCCCGGCATAGAAATAAACATCTAGTAAATAATCATTATCTTCCATCACATTAGTAATTCACTTTACAGTTTCCAGGCAGCTTTCACCTTCTCCGTCCTATTTTATGAAAGCAGAGACCGAGGCCAGCCCAGGCTGGGAGCGGACTGGGGGCTCGGGCCGCGGCGCCAGCAGCCGGCTCGGGATCCGTGCTCTGGGCGGGACCCGGCGGGGCGCCAAGCTCCGGGCAGGTGCGTAAATCCGCGGGGGAATCCTCCGCTCCACCTGGGCGCGGCGAGGAAATTGCACCATGTATGGGCAGCTACGTCAGAGGGGGCGGGCCGCCGCGGTGGCTGGGGGACGCCAAAGGCAGCCCCTTTTCCGAAGGAAAGTCGGCTGTTGACTGTAGGATGGGTGGAAAAGTTCGGTGCCGACCAGCGAAAGGCGGCGCGTCTGGAGAGGTGGGGCCCCGAGGTGACCTGCGCCGCCTCGAAACGCCCCCACCCCCCGCGGTCGAAGTGGTTCCGCCCGAGAACTTTTCATTCATAAAAAGAAAAGACTCTGCGAGGCGCGAGTGAGTCAGAACCCCTGCCGCCGACGCGGACCCCACAGAGCAGCCAGCCCAGGGCATGTACCGAGACTTCGGGGAACCCGGACCGAGCTCCGGGGCCGGCAGCGCGTACGGCGGTCCCGCGCAGCCCCCCGCCGCGGCGCAGGCAGCAGCTCAGCAGGTAAGAGGCGCCGGAACCCGCGGTCCCAGGGTGGACAACGCTTGGGACGCCGGATCGGTTCCGGTACATCCCGGGCTAAGGCCGGGACCAGGAGTAGGGACGGGGTTCGGGGGCCAGAGACGAGGATCCTGCCCATTCTCTGCCTTCCAGGGGCCAATTTCCCCAATACCCAGGGGAACGCGCGCTACGTGCGCGAAGGAGATCTGCGAACGCCCCCTTCGTTCGCCTGCCCCCTGCCCACTCGCTGCCTGTCCCTATCCCTCAGTCTTCGTTACCGTCTTTCTTTCCTCCTGTTCACCGCTATTTTTTTTTCCCACCTGCCTCAGCCTGCCCAACACAGGGTCAACTGAGCTCTCCATCTCAGGCTGAATTCCTGGGATCCCGGGGCTGGGCTGTGGGGATGTCCCCTCACAGGAGGGAGACGGGGTCCTTGAGAACCAGCCTGGACAGAGTGGGAATCCTTGACAGTCTGTCTATGACCGTCCGTGTGTCTGTCCATTTGTCCGTCCTTCTCTACCGCGTTGACAAATCACTATCCCTTTCTCTGCGTAGTGGACCCCGTGGGCCTGACAGTGGAATATAATGGGTTCTGGGAGAGTGGCTTTCCACCTCTATGCCGGACCCGGCAAATAGCGCGAGGTGCTGGGACGTACACCGGGTCATGCAACTGGCAACTCCCGCGTCCCCGACTCTTGGCATCGACGGCGCCCACTGCCCACTGGAGAGACCCGGGAGGCTGCAGGTGCCCATTTCCTGTCGAGGGGCTATGAGCACGTGTCGCCAAGGGGAGGGAAGAGCTGCGTTCGTTCCGCCGACTCACGGCGGGCGGCCGAGTCACGGCATCTGAGTCACCCCGGGCGCCCCTCCCTTCCTGGCCCCTAGCGGCCCGGGCCTGGACAACCTCGGGAGCAGGAGATGCCGCTGGCGGTTCCTTGATCCCGGAACTAGGGTCACTGGCCCGCTGGGTCCGCACCTCTGAGCCAATGCCACCGTGGTCGGGACTTGCCTGGGCTTGTGGAGCGCTTCCTAGACAGCTGGGCGCCCACACCCAGGACCCAGCCACAGGGCTGGAACCCAGTTTTCTTCACAGAGCATTGAATCCCCATCCCAACCCACTCCTCAGATTTCAGGCTGAAAGGGAATGGTCACAGGCAACAGCGGGGTCGCTAATATGGGCGCCTCCTGTGGTGGAGCTGTCCACCGCATTTACTATATTTCATAGATTCTAAAACCCCATAGTTAAACAACAACAACAACATTATTTTGTGCCACTAAATTTTTAAAACTTTCAATTGTGATTTCAGAGCTATTAAAGCTCTGCTGCTTCGAATCAATAAAATGCTCTAATCTTTACCTATAATATTTAAAATGAGGAAACTGAGACACATTGAAATCAAATAACTTGCCCAGAATCACAGTCAGTAAATGGCTGTAGAATTGGGACCAGATGAATCCAGAACAGTGGCTATTGCCCATCACAGCCTCTCAGCATTGGACACCTGCCATCTGCCACTTACTAGACTCTGTGACATACATTCCTATAGCCACACTAGGAGCTAGGACTGTAATTCTCCTCTTTGTTCCAGTGGGTGCAGAAGTAGGTAAGAGCCCAGCCACTTGGGCTCAGATCCCGTTTCCTACTTAATGGCTGTGTGTTTGTGGACAACTGTTCTCCTGTCTGAAAATGAAGATACTATTGTGCCAATTCTATGAGTCACTAGAACAATGCTGAGCAGTTCACGATTGAAAATTAACTCTGATGGGGAAACAAAGGCATGGAGAGGCTGTGTGACTGCCCAAAGACACACAGCTCATGAATAAGATTTGCCACCAAGTCAGTTTCTCTGATTGCCAAACTGTGCTATTTCTAGTTTCCCAGAACCGGTATGTGCATTGACAGTGGACAGCAGTGTGGACTCTGTCCTCTGGAAGGCCCTCGATACATATAGACCTCATCCCTGAACCTGTGTTTCTTATTCCTCAGAAGTTCCACCTCGTGCCAAGCATCAATGCTCTGAGTGGCAGCCAGGAATTGCAGTGGATGGTACAGCCTCATTTCCTGGGGCCCAGCAGCTACCCCAGGCCTCTGACCTACCCTCAATACAGCCCCCCACAACCCCGGCCAGGAGTCATTCGGACCCTTGGGCCACCTGCAGGGGTGCGTCGCAGGCCCTGTGAACAGGTAAGAAGCCAAGGTGTTGTGCTGGTTCTGATTGCCAACAGGAGTGATAGGGTACAAGGGACAAGCTCTTTCTAGAAAGGAGAACTCAGGTTTAGAAGAGGGAAGGCAGTGTCACTGGTGACTTCTGCCCAAGTCAGAGAGTGATAGGAGTCCAGGGGGAGGCTCAGATAGTAAAGAGATCACTTCTGGATCAGGGGTTGCTCCCCATGGAGGACAGCATGCTAGCATGAAAGGAGGGTAGGATTTGCATAGGCAGAAGCCATGCAGGAGCAAGAATGGAGGAGAAAGAGTATAAGGCTTGCCTGTGGAAAGATGGGAGGGTCTCTTCACTGCTGATATACATGAAGAGGTGGGCTAATGCAGTCTATATAGTGGGGCAGGGGGAATGGGAACAAGAAGATTTGCTACTTTCCAGGTCTCGAGGTTTCCTATCTCATTTAATCCTCACAAAAACCCTTTGGGGGGGGGTACTTTGGTTTTATAATTTTCCAGGCAAGAAAATGAAGGCACAGTGAGGTATTAACTTGCCCAAGATCATACAAGTAGTGAGTGATGAGACAGGACTGGCTTTAGCCTCAGGTCTACACAACTCTAGAGTCAGATCTGACCACTGACCCACACTGTGTCACTGGGAGCTGACAAAAGACTCCAGGAAGAGGGAACTAAGAGTTCTGGCTTCCCCAAAATAATTTTGAATGAGACATAAAGGGTCTTTAAGGAGGCAAATGCTCTTTTTTTCTTCCTGGGCATATGAGACAATAGTGAGGTGAGGTTTCCACATTTAAAAGTCTCCTCTGAACACTGGGTAGAGGATAGGGAGGGAGGGTGGAACCCTGGAAGATATGTGATTTGCCACAGGTGCATGTGACCACACCTTTGTAACCAACTAGGGAAGGGAACTGGAGCATGAGCCACAGAGACAGGCAAAGGTAACCACTCCTGTGCTTCCTTCTTTTGTCCCTGTCCTGTGTGGGACCCTTTGATCCTGGGTACTACTGGGTTGGGGCTGAGCTATGAGTGGGGTCTTCCTGAGGGAGGGGGCCTCCATCAGTTGGCTTCTCATTCATTGTAAGTAGTGAGGGAATAGATAATAATTCCTGTTCCAGAACATAAACATATTATTCATCCTCTCTGGGCTTCAGTTCCTTTCAAGGGAAATTTGATACGAATATATGTAGGGGACAGGCATAGGGACCCACACCTGTAATCTCAGCAACTAGAAAGGCTGAGACAGGAGGATCTCATATTCAAGGCCAGCATGAACGACTTAGTGAGACCCTGTCTCAGAATAAAAAATAAAAAGGGCTGAGAATGTAGCTCAGTGCCCCTGGGGCCTGGGCGCAGTGGTGCAGGCCTGTAATCCCAGCAGCTTGGGAGGCTGAGGCAGGCAGAACTTGAGTTCAAAGCCTCCCTCTGTGGGGAGGTGCTAGGCAACTCAACAAGACTCTGTCTCTAAATAACATATAAAAAAGTGCTGGGGATGTGGCTCAGTGGTTAAGAGCCTCTGGGTTCAATCCCAGGTACCAAAAAACAAACAAAACAAAACAAAACAAAAAAACACCACCAACAAAACATCCCTGAGTTCAATCTCTAGTATAAAATGCATACATATCTACATATACACACACATATGCATGCATGCTGGAGGATGTCGCTCAGTGGTACAGCACTTGCCTACCATGCACCAGGCCTGGGTTCAGTCCCTAGCTCCCCCCCCACGCCCCCGCAAAAAAAAAAAAAAAAAAAAAAAAAAAAAAAAAAAAAAAAAAAAGCAAAGCCTACAAACCTAAATAAAGTGTTTAGATGGTATACAGAAGGCTCCCAATAAA